ATTAAAATTTAATAAAAATTAATTATAAAAAATATACATTTATTATACTATTATTTTATACTTTAAAAATACATAATAAAAAAGCCTTAAAAAAAAACAAAGCCTATCGTTCTTGAATTTTATTCAACTACTCACAAAAATTTCAAACTATTAATACATACTATGTCAATCAAACTCTTATTTATATTATTTTAAATTTTTTTTTCAACTACTCACAAAAATTTCAAATTATTAATGCATAGTAACTCAATCAATCAAACTTTTACCTGGTATCATTTTTGAATTCGTATTCAACTACCCTAATGTTAACGTCATTGAACATTGGATAATGGAGCGAAAATTTCAGCATTCATTATGGCCCCACAATCTTTACAAATTTTATTATTAAAAATATTTAATAATTAATAAAATAATTACTATTTATTATTTAATAAATTAAATTTAATTAACAAATATTTGAAAATATTATAAATAACTATTGAACAAAAGAAAATTATTGTAAATGACTAAAAAAATTTAAATTATTGGCCACAACGACGTCCTGTAATTTTCCAATTCAATTGCTCTTCAATAAGAAGAATAATGCTATTTCGGCCGCAGCCTGTCACGCCGACAGAAGGCCTATCAGGACTACAACTTTTAAGTCCCTATATTTAAAATACATCATTTAAATCCTTAAAATCAAACAAGATTAATTTAGGGTATTAGGGTTTAGTAATTGTAATGTTAGGGATTAGATTACATTTTTAAGATTCAAAGTTTAAGATGTTAGAATCTAAATTTTTTAGGAATTAAATTTTTTTAAAATGGAATTTTTATGATGTTAATTAGAGTTTAGGTTTTTTAGTATTCCATATTTAGAATGTTAGGATTTAGATTTCTTTTTATTAAATGTTTACATTGTTAGGGTTTAGTATTTAAGGAGTTAAGGTTTAAACACTTTGAGTTTTATATTTTATGATATTAGAATTTAGATTTCTTAAGTTATATATTTTATAACATTGGGGTTTAGATTTTTTCAAATATAATATTTAATATATTAGGGTTTATATTTTCAAGATTTAAAACTGAATATTTAAAAAGTTTAAGTGTTTAATAATTTAAAAATTCAATTACAGAAGCAAAAAGTAAATTTTAGAATTAAGAAAAAATAAAAAAAACCATAAGAACCAATCGACTTGGAGACCGAGATCGGTCCCTATAGCATTGCCCCTTTAATTTATTGACCAAATCCCTTTGACTAGTTAGCTACAACGTGTTTGATTTTCCGCCAATTAATTTTTTTTTTTTAAATTCTATATAACTTGGAGGCCCAATGGAGCCGATCAAAGAGTTGCAGAGCGGAGGTATACAACTTGAAGCCTGTTGGGTTCTTAATGGGCTCCACTTAGAAGTTCAAACTACGATATGTATAGGCCATTTAGCCCCAAGAAATTGCGTAAATGGATCGAGTAAAGCATATGGACCTGAATTGTACCAGCACCGTCTCACCTCACCGACCCGGAGCCGTCGTCAAGTAATGTAAACCCCATCGCTGACACCTAACCTCGTCTTCGTCCTCTTTCAACATTTCCCCGTTTGCGTTTATAAAGCAAAAATCTTTGTCATTTTAGCCAATTCACCTTTCTCATATTTCTCCCATACATACTTTGAAAGCCAATCAAGACTTTTAAAGGAGGTCATAACTGTGTTTCTTCTCCTCTTAATTATCTCAAACAACACCATTCTAAAGCTATACACATCACATTTGTATGTTATGGGATGATTCTTAAGAAAGAATTCTAGAGCAAACTAATCAAAGGTTCCTCTATACTCCGTATTTGAAATGTGAATAAGATCCTTATTGTAGAGTTTTGCCAACCCAAAGTCAACAACTTTAAGGAGGAAGTTTACATCAAGAAGTACATTTGTGGGCTTTATATCATAATGGCTGATTCTCTCTTGAAATTCTTCATGCAAATAAGCAAATACCTTTGGTCGTCCCTATTGCAACTTCATGTAATTTTTTTATTAGAATATTAGTATTTATTTTAGAATATTATATTCACATTGTAGTTGATTATATACATTTAAGTTATTTGGTTTTATATCTAAGAATATTCTATTATATAGTTTCATACTTAAGAATATTTTATTGTATAAATTTATATATAGGACTTTTGTATATGTAATGAAAATAAAAAAAAAAAACAATAAACTTTTGTTCATATTATTCCTCTTTTTTTCGATTTCTAACATAATATCAGAGCTATAATCTCCTAGTTCTTCTCTTTTATGGTCGTTGTTTGTTTGTTTGGTTTTTTTTTTAGTTGGATTTTCAAATCCATTATAGATCTGAAACTCTGTTGTTATAATCTCTTCTCCTATAGATTGGATTGCTTATTCTCAGGCCCATTCTAAAGTATTTTTTGTTGGTTTGTTATTTCAATCTTCACATTTATTTCTTCATATTTATTTCTTCATATTTTTTGAGTTTTCTTAGTATTATGAGTTTTACTGATTCTATGGTGAGTTTTGAAAGAACTGTAAGTCATCTTGCTATTGCTATGGTTGCCAAAGAAGTGATAGACCAATTTAATGTCAATCTTGAATCCTTAAAAGAGGTGATATTAAATCTTTTTAATGCTCTTATTGCCTAATCTATTGCTCTAGGTACCAAACCTTAGTATTTTGATTCTGGTTGTTATAACCATATGTCTTCAATTACTACTTATTTCTCTTTAATGTCACTAAATAATTCCTTTCTTGATATTTATTCTATTGATAGTACCTCTATGAATGGTAGTCACATTGGTAATATTTCTACAAAGTCATTAACTTTATCAAATGCCCTTTTAGCTCTGAAACTTAGTTATAATCTTCTATCTGTTTGTCAATTATGTGATTTTGGTTTTGAAGTCACATTTTCTAATCATGGTTGTCATGTGTAGGACCCATGAACATGACAACTTCTTGGAACTGGTTGCAAAATGGGGGGGTTTGTTTGAGCTCAACTATCTACATATTTCTAATCATAAAATGGATACACCATCATTTCCAAATGATTGATTCATCCAAACTCTGCTTTGTGCTATTGAATTAGAGTCTTTGTAAATTCCATATCAACAAATTTTCCAAGCCTGTGCTACTACTAATGTTTTTCCTCTTCATTTATGGTACTCACTACTCAGACATGCCTCTATTAGTAAACTTTGTTCACTTATCTTTCGTGGTTTATTAGAATTTATTCCAAATGAATCCCTGCATTGTGTGTCATATCAATCTGCAAAGCAACCAACTTTATCTTTTTCAAATAGTCATTCTCATTCTATTGCTCCTTTCGATCTCATACATTCTGATGTTTGGGGTTGGGAGGTTCCAAGTACTTTGTGTTATTTATTGATGATCATATTCGTTTTACTTGGATATACCTTATGATAATCGCTCAGAATTATCACAAATTTATGATATGGGCATTTCTCAACCTTCTTCTATTGATCTATATTGTGATAATCAAAGTGCTATGTAGATTGCTCACAATGATATCTTCCATGAACACACAAAGTGTATTGAGTTTGATTGTCACTTTATTCGTCACCATGTTGCAAAGGAAACCATTCGTTTGATTTTCATTAATTCTGTTGATCAACTTGCTGGTTTGTTTACGAAGGCGCACTTCCTTGGACGCTTCCAAACTCTTCTTTCCAAACTCATATTAGTTTCCTCACCACCATCTTGAGTTTGCCACCACCTTGAGTTTGCGAGGATGTTAAAATATCAGTATTTATTTTAAAATATTATATTCACATTATAGTTGATTATATACATTTAAGCCATTTGGTTTTATACTAAGGAATATTCTATTATGTAGTTTCATATCTAGGAATATTTTATTATGACACCAGGTAAGTCATAAAGATAGGGGAAGAATTCATGGTCATATGGATGGAGCTTTGTCGGGCACGATGCGTTAACGTCTTTGACCAACCATCCGTCACCGCGTCCAGGGAAATTTGATTTTTTTTATAACAACAATAGTTAGTAGGTTAATATTATTAGAAATTAGTAACTGGAGATTCGATTCTTAGATCAGGTAAAAAGTTCATCAACCTTAATAAGGCACGCGACTAAGTGAAATTTGATTTTTGAATCACTTAAAAAAAAGTTTTTTTTTTGATGTAATAAATATATTTTTTATTATAAATTTATTTTAAAAAATAAAATTAATTTTTAAATTAAATTTATTTATTAATTTTTATAT